AATTCTCCCACCTTCCTCACCTAAATCCTCAGAGTTCACAACTGATATTAGTGTCTTGGGTGTCCTTCCAGATATATTTAGTGCATGTACAAATATATGCACTTGTATTTAAACAAATGGTAGCATAATATACATATATACATATATACATACTGTTCTGCATATCGTTTTTTAACTTAATGACCGATCTTGATTATTATTCCATGTCAATACTTATAGAACTTACTTATTTTCTTTATGGCTGAATAGCATAACCAGCCCTCAGTTAATAGCCATTTAGGTTATTTCCAATATTGTGATATTAAAACAATATTTTAATACATATCATTGTATGAATTTTATTTCCTTATGTTCAACTATATCTGTAAGATAAATTTCTGGAAGTAGCATTTCTGAGTGGAAGATATATGCATTTTTAATTTGGATAATTATTGCCAACTTGCTCTTCAGGGAGGTTATACTAATTTAAACTACCCTGCCCCTAGAAATGTATGAAAGTGACTGCCTGTTTTATCCACATCTTTGTCTACACGGGGTATTTCATACTTTTTGATCTTTGCCAATCTGATTGGTAAAAAATGGTATCACATAATTTTAATTTACATTTTTCTTATGGGTAACACTGAACTTATTTTTATATGATTAATAACCATATGTACTTCCTCTTTATGAACTATCTGTTTATATGCTTTGCTTATTTTCCTATTGGGCAGTTTGTCTTTTTCTTATTGGTTTATTGGAATTATCAATATATTGATAAATTAAAGCTATTTATATATTGATAAAATTAGTCCTTTACTATGATATGAACTAAAAATCTTTTTTTCACATTTTGATATTTGTCTTTGACTTTACATTGTTAAGCATTTTTCCCATATAGTAGAATTTATCAATATTTTATTATGACTTCGAGATTTTTATTTACTTTTTAAATATATTTTTAATAGTAATGCATATATTTGTATTCTCCAGTGTTTTCATATGGCACATTTATAGCATTATTTTTCTCATTTAAATCTTTACTCTTTATTTTGTTATAAGGTGAAGGGCATTCTATGTAGACAGCTTGAGGAGTTCTGACTGTGAGGAAATATTCTCTTGTTTACTAGTGGTGTCTGGATTATAGCATCTAGACATTTTCTATTAGTTTCTCTTCTACAGTGACAGAGTGAAGCAACCTGTTCTGTGGTGGATGGGCAGCAAGGAGTCCTGATGGTTGAAAAGTAATTGGACATGGGACAGTGACAGTATTAAGTAATGAGATTAATGGCCATTACATAGGACTAGGTTAAATTGGGCAAGTTGCCAGAGGGTAGGGTTTGAAGTGGTAGTGAAGACCACTTAAAAAGTCTCAGCACAATCACAGTTCCAAGATGAGCATCCTCAGAGGCGAGTTAGCATATGGAGAGCTCCAGGTGAACCACGGTATTTCTAAAGGTTGGGAGTTGTTTGTGGCCTTTTCTCCTGAGGCAGCTGCAGAGTACTGGATTGACTCTGTTCTCAGAGTTTAGAAGGGAGACTTCAGTGATTTTAGGGCAGTGGTTCTCTACTCTGCCTGCTGCATTAGCATCTATTGGGAAGAGTTTGAACCCCAGGAACAGCGATTTGAAAACTCTCTAGGTGCTTCTGATGTGCAGCAAGGGCTGAGAACCACTGTTTAATGCAATCAGTTTGCAATCCCTTTGAGCCAGGGATTGCCATGCACGCTACCTCCATCCTTCCAGTGTGCATGGGAATCACCCAGGAGCCCGTTAAATACAGATTCTGGTTCAGGCGGTCTGGGGTGGGGCTTGAAATTCTGTATGTCTAACAAGCTCCCCAGGGACGCTGAGGCAGCTTGTCCCCAGACCACACTTAAGTGGCTTGAGCCTGTTGCTCAATGTGCAGAGCGCTGGCTTACACCAGTCCCAAAGAATCAGTAAGCGTTTTTCTGCCATAATCCAGCTCTGTGGCAGAATTTGTTTAGTGTAGTAGAACACTGGGGTCAAGAGGCCTGTTTTCCACTTTCAGCTTCGACCCTAATTAGTTTTAAAACCAGTCTCTTTAAAGTGCTCCAGTCTGTTGTCCTCTTATCTTTGAAATGGGACGGCTGAACTGGGTAAACTGCAAGGTCTCTTTTGTTCCTGCCTCCTCCCACGCAGATCCAGGGTGTTTTCAGACTCCGGATTTTTATGTGGAATGGCAGTCTAAATTCTGCAGTAGTGATCCTGACTTGCTAAATTATTTTTAAATTGCAGACTGTCAGTACTTTTTCTTACAAACACATACCATTATGTTTATTGTATTTGGAAAATCTTTTATATGATCAACTATTGATGATCTATCATAACAAGAGTGATAATAGAATGTACTACCACATCTTCTAGTTTTAAACCAATAAACACAATACATGTCATTTAATAGAAAGATTATTTTGATTTTAAGTGACAGAAAACCCAGTCCAAATTGGATGAAGCAAAGAAGGGACTTTTTGGGGCTCTGTAATTGAGAAAATTGAGGGTAGAGCTAGCTTTGAGTATGGTTGGTGTAAGTAGTGTAATCAGGATCTGGTCTCTCTGCATTTCATGGCCTTACTTCTCTCTGTAATGGCTTCATTCTCAGACTCCGTTTAATTACACGGTGGCTTCCAGCACAGCCAGGGCTTTATCTTTCCGGTTCAAATTCAGTAAAAAAGAGAACAGCCTGGTGCCCTCCCCTCAGCCCCAAGCCTTGAATCACATCTCATTGGCTCTGACTGGATCATTTGCGCCTTCCTGAGTCTCTGTGGCCAGCAAGACTGGTGCCCTGATTGGCCAGATCAGAGTCCTGTGACTGTTCCTGGAGCTGGGGCGGGAGGCCATGTCTACAGTGACAAGGGAGAAGGGAATGATTCCTTAGAGGAAAAGTGGCTCCTGTTCCAAAAGAAGAGGGAATGGATATTTGATGTGAAAAGCAACAATGGAAAACTATCTCTTTCTCCATTTAAGCCAAAATTTAAGTTAATTTATGTTGTCAAAATACAAAGATTTCAGTGGTAGAAGGTTATCAAGGCTGTGTGCTTTGTGGTTGGTTGGACCATATAGAACTGGAATTTGAAACAATAATTTCATCTACAAAATGCAGAACCTTAGTGAAGTAATAAAAGACGAGAGTGTTCAATACCTGATTGCTCACTTTACAGGCAGGAATGACAGTGGCATCAACCAGTTACAATGAGTTGAGTCTAGACAATCTGAGCTGAGGTTGATCACCACCAACCAGCAGGGCCCCTCTGTGGGAGTTGGCAGGATGTCGGCCCTGTTAGCTGGGAGGCATTGTAAAGGTCCTGCCATATTTCTCAGAAAATATAGTTTCTATATTAGTTTCCTAAGGCTGCCATAACAAAGTACCCCAAATAGGGTGGCTTAAAACAGAGAAATTCTCATAGTTCTAGAGATTGGAAGTTGGAAATCAAGGTATCTGCAGAGTCATGCTCCCTCCAAAGGTTCTAGAAAGGAATCCTTCCCTGCCTCTTCTAGCTTCTGGTGGTTGATGACATTCCTTGTTATTCTTTGGGTAGTAGATGCACCACTCAAATCTCAGCCTCTGTCTTCCTGTGGCCTTCTCCCCTGTATCTCTGTAGCCAAATCTCCCTCTTGTTATATGGACACCAGTCATGTTGGATTTAGGACCTACCCTATTCCAATGTAACTTCATCTTAACTTGATTATAGCTACACAGATCCTATTTCCAAATGAGGTCACATTCACAGGTTCTGAGTGACATGAATTTGAAGGGGACACTATTCAACCCCATATAGTTACCTAAAATCAAATGCTCTTGCGTAGTTGGCATGGCACAAATTGTAAAAAATAGTCAATATTAAATCGCTTACAAACACTATAAAATTTTTCTTATTTTATAGTTAAAAACTGGATTTTTGAATGTTAGTAAAAGTATTTAAGTGAATTATGATTTTTTTGTTGGAATTCTATTGGTTTTTTTTTGCTACATCAGATTAAGTAACCACATCTTTCTTAATTATAATTATTTTAAGTCTGTTAAAATGTAAATGTTAGTGTGACAATTTGGCGGAGAATTAATAATTTTCATTGACACATGAGTATATCTGTACATGAGAAGGTATTGCATTTTTACATGACTTTATTGAATTCAAACAAGTTTTGCCTAAAAAAAACAGGGCTGACCACAATTAAGTGAACATCATCCATTAGTATATTTAAGAGCAAGTATGAGAAGCAGGAGAGAAATGTAGCTGGTGAAGGGCTTAGATATCATATCTTTTAAGGAACATTTGAAAATAGTAGTAATTGTCTTCAGCTCTTTGAAGAATGGCTCTGTGGAAAAGAATTTAGATTCTGGAGGGCAGAACTAGAACCAGAGAGTTAAGATTAAAGGGATACACTTCAATGCTATTTAAGACAAAACTTTCTCAACAAACAATGTACCATGTACCAAAATGGAGGCAGTAGTTGTGTTAGGGAGTAAAGTGCTGATTCCTTTCTAGGAATTACCTCTCTGGGACATTTTAATGGAGATCTTGCTTTAGACAAGAAATTGAAACGGAAAGTCCCTTCTGGTTTCACGATCTGTTGCAAGTCCTCCTAAAATTTCTTTTTCTATATATGTCATGAAAACCAATATTAATTATGTGACAATGTATTTCTGTAAGTTTATAGGTGTTTTAACAGCTGCCAACCTAAAGCTTTGAACCTAAAGCTTTGTTCTATGACTTCTGTGCAATGGACTGCTTGGGAAAATAAAAGGGGAGAATTTAATCTAGGAGAAGGAGATCATCATTAAGGAATGAGAAAGATAGGGGATTAAAACTTCTATTTATTGAGTACCTACTATGTAGAGAGTTTTTGGATGAGTTTCTTTATCCATATTGTCTCGTTTCATTGAATATACTTAGTTTTTCATTGCTTACTTTGGAACTTATGAGAAGCTGTAGTTCTTAGAATGATGAATTCTTAATATAATTGGTATTTTCTTATGTATTCTTTGATGATGGAACACAGGACTGTTCTGATGGCTACATGTGCAAAACGCATTTTCAAATTAAAAATGAGATGATGGAATCACAACCTGGAACATCTGCCCATGTGCAGACGTGTCTTCCCATGGAGGTGAGTGATTTAACATGTCATATTCTCCTTTTTGGTCTTTGTGAAGTATAAATTTAAAAATTGAAATGTGTTAAATATATATTCTAAAAAAATTAACTGCCATTGGATCCTGGGCCTGCTGTCAGGGGAGAAGTGAACATCATTTGTCAGTGAACATCATTTCTTCTATAATATTGGAAGCAGGAATTGTGGTAAAGTTGAGATCTACTCTGAGGCTATACACATCATAGTGAGCCTTCATCCTTTTGGGTTCTCTGAATCTGAAGACCACAGGTGCCTTTTATTGCCTATTGATTTCTCTCGCATGAAATTCTTCCAGGATAACACAGACCTATCTTTTGGCTGCTTAATACCTGGCTGGAGACCTCTTTGGCTAGTTTGCTTTTAACTCTTTTTCCCTATACCATTTAAAATATGCTATATCTGGGTCTCATTCCTTAGGGGACTTTAACCTTAACTTGAAAATCTTGCTAAATTAAATTTTAATAAGGTGATAATGGCTTAGTGGTTTTCTAGGATATTTTTCATTTAACTTTTATTGAAATGTAAATAGCCTTGTTGTATTGGTTATTAATAAAAAAAATTGTGTATGTTCATTGTAAAAGTAAACAATAAATACATAAAAAGAGAAAAAAAAATTTCTATACATCCTTAAACAGGAGGTAACCACTATTAATATTTTAATAAAGACCCTTCCACACATTTCTATCACACACACACACACATACACACACACACACACACACACACGCACACACACGTTTTGCAATGTACATGTATGTCATGGACATCTTCTCATGTCAGTAAATGTAGAATTCATGTCAGTAAATGTAATGGCCCCATTACCTTCCATCCTATGAATACATCATAATTATGTAGAGCCCATATCGAAGTAAAATACTTGAATTCTAAAACAGAATTGGTGGGGACCCAATTGCTTCAACACAAAGGAAGAAATAACTAATGCTTGGAATTCTGAGAATCTTGGTAAAATGGGTGAGGAGACTTTTTTGGTGAAGAAGGAGCTTTTTCTCAGGGTCTATATTAAATCAGATCCATTTGGCAATCTGGCACTAGTCCCCTCTGCCTGTGTATGACACTGGCCTAGAAGTAACTCTTGCCAATATAATTTGGTTTGCCAATTATTCTAGAGGGTATTATGCTTGGTAATAAATTAAGTGCCCCTGGTGGCTGCTCACATCTTGATTACTGTTTCGTGGTTTGAATAACCAATATCATATCTGAAGCCAAGCATGTTAGGAAGCTTTTCAATTCATTATATATTAACTTAAAAAATGCACATGGAAATGATGATTTAAAAGATGAATTACCAGCTTTTGCTTAACAAGTTGGCAGAGATTTGAAAAGCACTGTAAAATAGTGTTGACAGTATGAGGGAACTGACACTTTCTGGTTGATGTTTTAACTTCACAAAGTTTAAAGATGTGCCCATACTATGAACAATCTATTCCAATTCTAGGAATTTAGCTTCATAAAATATGAATTTTTTATTTTCAACACTTCTCAACAAATTTCAAACATATGAAAAAATTGAAAGGGTTTTCAGTGAACATTCATGTACTCATCACCTAAACTCTACCATTAACATTTTGCTGTGCTTGCCTTATTATATATCAGTCCCTCTATTCATGTATCCGTACACCTTCTTTTTGATGTAGCACTTTTGCATCAGAGTAAATTGCAGACAAATACTTATAAAGTAATCAGAACTGTACATGAAGATCTACCTGCAAGCATATTCATTTTTTTATAATAGGAAAAAATAGAACCAACTGAAATATACAATAGTAATGGATTGGATCATTATGGCCCATCTCTATGATTTTTTTTTTTTTTTTTTAAATTCAGTAGGTCTGGAGGAGTGGGGCCTGAGAATTTGTGATTCTAATAAGTTTTCAGGTGATGCTGATGTTGCTGCTCTAGGGACCACACTTTGAGAACTACTGCTCTACTCTATAATAGAATGTGTGGCATATTTGAGATGCTACACAGCTGAAATGGTTAGTTAATATGATATATGATAGAGTCAGTATTGCAGTACTCTTGCTGGCATGAAAGATGCCTTAGATTGAGCCTGAGATGGAGATTTCTGTTCAAGTGACTTACTAGGGATGTGCTCTTAGGAGAAAGAGAGTGACAGAAGCAGGACAGAACAAGGGACAAAAAAGCTAAGGAAGAATGTGGTCTCAACTAAACACTTACTTTAGTCTTATCTCCTGGGAAACTCTGAAGCACAAAAAACATCCAGAATTAGTCTCACTTTGTGTCCTTGAGGTGGCCTTTTGTACTCTGTGACAGTCATCAGCTTGTCAGTGAGCCATTGGCCAAAGTGGAGGTGGACACTACCTTCCTAAGCAAGATAGTTCCAGTTTTAACCAAGAAATTCTTCAGAAAAGAGGGCAGCTCTGTGTTACCAACCAACAATCAAAACAGCTGAGTAGAGATAGGTGCACTGGCTTTAAGGAGACCTGGATGGGGCACTAACAGTGTTGACTACCAAAGAGTAACCTGAAACCAACAAAATAGGATCTATGAGGAAATATATGCAAAAGGTCTGCATTTAGATGAAAAGTGAGAGGCTTGACATGACAGCAATTTGTTTGAGAAAGAGCTGGTGATTTTAGTTGACTGTAAGCTCAAGATAAGTGAAATGAATGCCATGTATACTAGAAAAACTAACTGGAACCTAAGCTACATTAATTAAATGGATCCCAAGTACGGTTTAGGGATCCTTGGGATGGCGTCCCAGAGATGCTTTCAGGGGTCCACAGAGTCTAAATTATTTTTATAATAATATTAAGATGTTATTTATACTTTTTTACTCTCGTTCTCCCTGATTCTTCCAGAGGCTACTTACCTGTGATATTGCAACAGATTGAATGCAGAAATAGTTACAAGAACCTAGCTATCTTCTATTAAGCTAGACTTTAAAAAGATTTGCAAAAATGTAAAACAGTGCTCCTTTCCTTACTAATTTATATTGTTTTGGAAAATATATTTATTTTTTGTAGAAATATGTTATTAACTTTTTAAATGAATTAATAAGCATTTTTTAATTTCAATATAAACTTCTAATATAGTGAATATCAATAGTTTTAACTCTCTTAAACAAAAGCTCTTTGGAATACTCAATGAATTTTAAAAGTGTGAAGGGTAAATAAAAAAAAAAAAATCAGAAAAAAATGTGTAAAGGGTTCCTGAGATCAAAAAGTTTGAGGATCACTGATCTATATCATGGAAATATTACATTATTACATGTGAAGAAGAATATTGATAACTAGAATATGTAATACATGAATACGTATAATAATAGTTTAAAAATAAATTATAAATAGAATTCATCCATGTAGAGAAGCATGCCCGAGGGCCATGGGTGGGCTTGAAAACATTATTATGAAAAATATTTTGGGGACTCTGGGGATGGTAAACTAGAACTGAAGACCTGGGAAAGTTAGTTGTCTTCAGATATATCTAGAAGACTTTCCCGTGGAAGAGAAAGTAGACTTACTTTGTTTCTGAGAGAATTAGTTCATGTCTGGAAATTATTCTAGACAAATCTCTCTAATATTTAGAGTTGCCTACAATGAAATAGGTCAGCATGTAAAGTTGTGAGCTCTCTCCCCTTTCATGGGTATGTTCAGCCACAGAGTGGATAACTCTCTCTCTGGAACAGTGATCACCCACTGAAATGCTCATTTGCTTAAAGTATGAGGCAGATGATGAGAGAGTGAAGTGGGCGGATGGGAAGTGGTAGGAGCTGTGGAGAAAGGGAGAGGGCGTGACTCATCCAAAAGGTCAGCACGCATGCAGCCCCAGGTGGATTTTCAAGAAAAGGAAATGATTTGGATTTTTGTGTGTTGGCTTAATTGAAAAAGAAAAAATCTGTTCAGGCCAAATAGGCCATATTTATGGGCTTTACGTGGTCCTTGGGCCACCAATTTATAACCTAGCTTCTAATATTATAGAAAGGAGTTTTGTATTATGTAGAAGACTGAGCTGGGGGACCTCTGAATTATCTTTAAAATGTAAAGCGTGATAGTTCTATATCTGTTCCATATCTGTACATCACATTTCCTATTTAAAGATGTCCAAAGGAATGTCTCTGCTAATAGTCGTTTCAAAAAATTTTTTAAATTTGGTGATGTAAGGTGTGGGAAATCACTTACTTCCTGTTCTAACGAGATCTGGCAGTCTTAACTTGATTCATGATTTTTATGCTTGTGAGATTATCTACAATGATGTGTAGATAATCATGGGGTTTTTAAAAATCAAAGTGAAATATGATGGAATATATAAGTGAAATAATGTGTGAAAATTATAATCTATACCTTTAAATTTTTAAAATATGATTTCAAATGGTAGTTAAGAGAATGAGATTGTATTTAGAAATCTACTAAATATATTGGGGCATTTTTTAGTTCTGGTTTTGAGGAAAGGAGTTCTTATTTATTTGTTTATTTATTATTTTATTTTATTTTTATTTTTTAATTTTAATTAAATATTTCATTGTATGTTCACTGCCCATAGTTAGATTTCTTTCTGTCACCACATATTTGACCCCTTTTACCCCGTCTACTTCCCCCCTCTCCCCTCCTCTCTTTTCCCCTACCTTCTGGTAACCATGAGTCTATTGTCCATGTTCATGAGTTTCTGTTTGTCCTGTTCTTTTGTTGCTTTTAGGTTTATATTCCACATATAAGTGATATCATGTGGTTTTCAACTTTTTCTGTCTGGCTTATTTCGCTTGGCATGATTATCTCGAGGTCCATCTATGTTCTCGCAAAGGGCAGTATTTCATCTCTTCTTAAAGCTGAGTAATATTGTATATATGTACCACAGCTTCTTTATTCAGTCTTCTATCATAGGACACTTCGGTTGCTTCCATGTCCTGGCCACCGTGAATAATGCTACTGTGAACATTGGTGTGCAAATATCTTTTTGGATATATGTTGTCAAGTTTTTGGGGTGAATGTCCAGTA